TAATCTAGTCCCATTTGACAGCATTTGGCCCATATTCCTCCAAACCCTTCCTATTCATAAACCCATCCAGATGCCTTTTAAATGTTGCAATTATACCAGCCACCAGCACTTCCTCTGGCGGCTCATTCCATATGCACGCCACCCTCTGCACGAAAAAGTTGCCCCTAAGGTCCCTTTTTAAATCTTTCCCCTCTCACCTTAAACCTATGACCTCCAGTTTTAGATTCCCCTACTCTGGGAAAAGACCTTGGCTATTCACCCTATCCATTCCCCTCATGATTTTACAGACTTCTGTAAGGTCACCTCTCAGCCTCTGACACTCCACAGAAAATAGCCCAACCTATTTCGACTCTCCGTCTAGCTCAAACACTCCAACCCTGGCAACATTCTTGTAGATCTTTTCTGAATCCTTTCCAGTTTCACATTACATTTCCTATAGCAGGGAGACCAGAATTGAATGCAATATTCCAAAAGTAGCCTAACCAATGTCCTGTACAGCCAAGATATGACCTGCCAACTCCTATACTCAATGCACTGACCAATAAAGGAAAGCGTACCAAACGCCACCTTCATTATCCTGTCTACCTATCACTCCACTTTCAAGAAACTATGAACCTTCATTCCAAATTCTTTGTTCGGCAACATTCCCCAGGACCTTAACCATTAAGTGTATAAGCCCTGCCCTGATTTGCCCTACCAAAACGTAGCACTTCACATTTATCTAAATTAAACTTTATCTGCCACTCCTCGGCCCATCTGATCAAGGTCTTGTAGTGAGATAACCTTCTTGGCTAAATACTACACCAATTTTAGTGTCATCTGCAAACTTACCACCCGTACCTCCTATTTTGTCATCCAAGTCACTTATATAAATGACAATAGGTCTAGAAATACTAGTCTGTGCCAGAAAGCCTGGCCATGCTATTTTATTTAGTAGAGTTCAATTTGTTTTTGTCCTATCTCCTTTCCAGCCTCCAAGCCTTAAATGAAGTACTTGCATCAAGTACAAGGGATGAAGGCCAAGCTGAGATAGAGAAACAGGTATGAACTGTAATATGAACTAAAAATACTGGATACCCATGCAGGTTAGGGAGCTGAGAAGCAGAGTTAACTTTTTAACTCAATGAGCTGTTGCTAATGACCAATAATATTTTCTGGGTGAACAGCAGTATGAGTTGTCAGTCCCTTGAGCCTGTACTGTAACATCACAGCTGTATTATGTCTGTACTTTAAAATTTGGTCGTATTAGAGTTTTATATACATTGGGAAATACTGTTGGTAATACTGATGAGAGAAGTTTAGTGTTGTAAATTAAGAATATCACAGCAAAACCTATATTGATTTGATTGAGATTTGTATCTCCTTCAGCAAAGTATTATTAATACACAGTGTATCAAGTGCTAACACTAACTTACAAACTTGTGGTTGCTGTAACTTCTTTTCCCTTGGTCTGCTCATTTTTCTTTCCATACAAAGTAACTGAATTAGCTGAACTTGAATTTGCTTGGTGTTTGTACAGGCAAAATTAATGCATACTACCTACTTGTCACCAAAAGAAACTTCTGTGCAATAAAATCATTTGGTAATTGGGAATAGGTTACTTTTTTGACAAGTACATATAGTGTACGCTTGTCTTCTGTTCCGTTTTGTGTATTTCAATAAGATCCAGCAAATATGCTAAATGATGGCACCTCTAGCAGATCCAGGTGGTGGAAAGTTGATATCATACAAACGTATTGAAAAATAGGAATTTGACAATTTGAATTGATTCTTAAGATCCAAGAGGTGAATGCGCAATTAGCAAAAGAGAAGGAGGAAGCTGAAGCACGAATGCGCCAGGCTACAAAAAGCTCTGATCATGCCGCAGGATGTGGGGGAGGAAGCAAAACATGGCTGGAGGATGACTTGCAGCTGTTGATAAAAGGTGTAAATATCTTTCCTGCTGGAACAAATGCAAGGTAACACAGCAAAAAAAATTTGCATAAATAATTTAACTACTTTAAGAACATCCCTTGCTGCAGGTCTGTGCAACTGAAAATCCAGCACAGGTATTTGAAGAGATGAAAATGGTTTTGGAACCATTGATTTCCAAATATGAAGTTACAATTTGTGGGAGGATGGTAAGGGAAGGTTGACAAAAGTGTGGCCGTGGGTCAAGATTAATTTAAGTATTTCCAAAAATTATAGAACTTGACTTGGTTCATTTATTGACTAATGCGTGGTGAAGCTGGAAAATTACGTTGGTCCTACTGACGAGCACTGTGTTAATATGGAAGCGTTAATCGTTCCTCATTGAAAGAATCACTGACTTGATTTTTTCCCTTATACCATTCATCCTCTAAAAATTAAATCGTTATTCCATGGGTGTTCAATTTCTCCAACAACTTGTCTACGAAACAGTTTAACACTGGTTGTGATGGTATCTCCCACAACCCATCATTGTACCAAATTCATCTGACCTGTCACATTTAGACTGCAGCCTTGTTAACATAAATTACAACATTAAGAAATGTTGTATTTGGATAGGTGGATGTACAAACACCTCCATCACACTCCCCCTTCTCTTCTGATTTCCATTGAAAACAAAGAAAATATACTGTATCTAGTTTGCTAAAGAGCAGAAAGCTAGTAATTAATCCTATTAATCATATAGAATTGATCTTTTTCCAGGTGGGAAGTAATTGCTAATTTTATCAATTCACACTCGACAAGTGGAATCAAAAGAACAGCCAAGGACGTAATCAACAAAGCCAAGAATTTACAAAAGCTTGGTAAATACTGAATCTCTTTTCATTCGGTCTTCAGGATAATCTTATCCACCATTTGACAAAAATGTTAAAGTGGCAATAGGAAATCTGAAAAGCTTTAGTCATTGTTTAGGAGGTGAAATATTAGCTGTGACGCTACATGGACATGGTAACACCTATCAATATAGATACCTTCTAAAAAATGTTTTTTGCAATATTCTTTAACTTTATATGAATTCAGCTGTTAATACAGCTTTTTCCTAAGTTCTATAAATATAATCATTTCTGTTTGTCCTTCAGATCCTCTACAAAAAGATGAAATAAATAAAAAAGCATTTGAAAAGTTCAATAAAGACCATAGTACAGCAGTTGCTGCAGTGGATAAGGCAACTCCTTCAGAGAGGTTTGAAGGTAAATGATGAATATGTTGTGAAAAAAACTGACATTTAAGAGGTAACAACCTCTACATAATTTCTTTGAGAGTCTATTAATTTACAAACATTTTAAAGCTGATGTATTGGTAATTGGTGATTCAAGCAAAAGTGTTTTTATTAAGGACAGGAAAGTTAAATAAAAGCTGAAAATGCAATGGATGAATTTGTAAATACACCTTCCCTTAATTTATGATTGCATGAGTTTTTGAAGGAGTACTTCCATCTGTCATTAATTTTCTTAATGTTTTTCATGTATATTATAGTTCAATTTCCAATACCAGAATCATCATTGAAAATTTAAATAACTTGTATTTTGTAATTGCATACAGAATCAATTGCAGTATTTTCCTTTACAAAGATTTCAGCATGAACTGTGAGTGCAGTGTTGCCATTAAAACATTTAGTATTCCGATGTGCTTTAGGAAAAATGTCACACAATACTTCCAAATTATTATGATTACTTTTCATGATACTGCAACTACCACTTGCTAATATTGCCAGTAAATCAAGCTGTTTGGAATAATTGTGAGATCTTATCAATTTAAAGTGACCATAGTAAAATGTTAAGTATGTCATGCAGTTGTGACTTTGTTTTTAGCGTAGCAGATGGACAATCTAGTGTTGAAAGCAAATAAGTCCATTAATGATGACTGGTCACAGAATTGAGTTGCTCCAATTTTAGATGGCATGGAATTCATTTGCTGCGTTCTCCTGAAGGCATCAACTCCCACTGACATATAATTTCATAGCATCTATTGTTCATAAACAGTACTTAACAAGTAGTTCATCCCGTAGCTGAGTCTGTATCTATTTTTGCCTTCTGTATATTTGCTTCATTTACTTGAGCAAAGTTTACCAAATAATGACCATGAATTCTAAATTCCCCACACCCCTTCGTGATCTTATGTGGTGCAATACCAAACTTTGCTCTCACATTGTTTCAGAGGTAGTAGGAACTGCAGATGCTGGAGAATCTGAGATAACAAGGTGTAGAGCTGGATGAACACAGCAGGCCAAGCAGCATCAGAGGAGTAGGAAGGCTGACGTTTCGGGCTTAGACCCTTCAGAAATGCCATTCATCCAGCTCTACACCTTGTTATCTTTGCTCTCACATTGACTGATATCTAACTTAGATTGAATTCAGAAGTGTATGATTGACAGGAAATTTGTAAAGTGCTTCTCAGATGCCAACCTTTGACTAGAAACATGAAAACCCCACATTGCAATATGGATTTTTACTGCAGTAGTGAAGACATTATTTTGTTTTATGCTTTAGTGCCTGGTTGTGACATTAACCCATGGACAGCAGAAGAACAGAAACTTCTGGAACAAGCACTGAAGACTTATCCAGTAAACACCCCTGAACGATGGGAAAAGATAGCAGCAACTGTTCCAGGAAGAACAAAGAAAGACTGCATGAAAAGATACAAGGTAAACATTTTTTTAGGATGTTTTTCAAGAGGTGTTTGCAATGCACAGAGCTGAGTGAACATACCACTCTTGAAATATTATTACATGTTGGTACACAAGTTCCTACCTTTTTAACTGACTTTTAAAAAAGCAACCTATTTATACAACATGCTAGTTTCAGAATGTAAGTAGTGGTTAAATCATCTGCTGGCCTGATTTCAAAACTAACTTTTGAGTTAACTTCTGCATTTGGAACTGTTTGCTCTTATTTTACAGGAACTTGTTGAAATGGTCAAAGCAAAGAAAGCTGCACAAGACCAAGTTAATACTGCTAGATCGAAGAAATGAGATGTTGCTACTCCCTTTTATCATTGTGCATGTGATTATTTGATAATAAAAAGACAAAAACTAGTATAAATGTCTCTTTATTTTATAATTAATAGAATATAAACATTTATCTTGTGTAATTTACACATTCAACCAGTACATTGCACTGCAAATTCTGTTATAATCTGGGAGCTGTTCAATAGGACCTGGAACAAAAAAAATAAACAGCAATATAACATACTGAAAGCATCTTCAGGACTGTCATGTTATCTTGATGTCTACTTACCAACAGCAGCAATTGCAGGGCACTTGTTGTAGATATACTTGGTGCATACATCCCTTATTGTGTTAGCATCCACAGCCTAGTTCAAAATGGGGAAAGCATTGTTTAGTTTAAAGCAACTGCACAAAGGCAAGTCCTCAACATTTTTACTTTGTTTAATCTGTCTTTAAGCTTAGCACAGCTGCCTTCAAACAATGTGGAATTTTAGCATGCAGAGTTTGTTTACTTACTTCAATTCGAGCTTCAAGCTCTGGGATTGGAATTCTTCGGTTATAACACAACATTTGTCTCCCAATATCTTCACAGATTGGTGTTGATCCTAGAAATTTTACAATTACAACTTAATATTTTAAACAAGCATGGATAACAAACTTTACAAATAGAGGAATCTTATTTTTACCATCAAGCTGCAGCAACATGTTTGTTTTTAAGAGGTTTTTGGCTCTTGCAACTTCACTGTCAGTAACACTGGTACACAATCTCATCCTGAAATAGAAAAACATGCAAAATAATGGGCTTTGAAAATTATAATTCTAGTGACAGATGCAGTACTTATTTGACCTCCATTATCGGTATCAACTTGAGTAAAAAGAGATGTTTGATCAAAATATTTTTGGAATGGTGTAGCCAAAGCAACTTTGGTGCAGTATTCACTCAATGTAATTTGTAGCCGTCACTTTAACATGTGACTGTAAGTTTGTTAACACCAAATTAGAGGTGACTACTGCAACAAAGTTATAAAACTGACATTATACAGAAGGTAAAATGATTTTACCTTAGTGATGAAAACTTCACTGTATAATTTGCAGCACTAAGCTGATTCTTTGCTTTAGGAATAAAAACATTTAACCAATTTTACTGATCACTCTTCTGCATATTTAAGGGATACGTGTTTAAAGCTTAGATTGCAGAAGGAAACCATATGGCCTGTCAAATTATTGGCATTTTTGAACTGTAACCCAATTCGATGACCCTGCCAAGAACTCACCAAATCCTTTCTTGACACTACTAAAACAGCTGTCACCACCATATCGCTGTCATTGTCCCAATCCTAATGACTTTTTTAATTTCATGGGATGTCGGTATTGCTGGCAAGGCCAGCATTTGTTGCCCATCCCTCAAGGCCTTGAGTGGCTAGCTAAGCAATTTGAGAGCAGTTAAGAATCACATCTGGAGTTATGTATGTCAGACCTGGTACGGGTAACAGCTTTCTTCCCCTAAAGGCGGTTAGTGAACCAGTTCTTCAATGACAATGGGATCTACTGATTGATCCTTAAGTTCAGCACCTACGAAGGTGGGATTTGAACTTCTGACCCTACAGCATTAGTAATCCAACTGCCCAGGCTAGCCTAGTAATGTGACCACTCTGCTGTCATCTCATCTACCTCCCTGGGTAAAAGGTTTTTGATGTTATCTCTCATTCTTTGGCCAGTTATCTTTTATTTGAACCCTTTGACTATTGACCTTTCAGACATTGGAAACATTGCCGCTCTGGAAACTCCATCTCCATCTTATACCAATTGCTACTTGCTAATCCCCCTTTATAAAAGGGAAGGCTTTGCATTTCTGACAAGAGATTCCAATGAGGTATCCTTCAGAGATTTGGAATTGTACTTCCATTCTTCCCAAACACACACAATGCAGAACTGTCAGGTGAAGGCAAACCAGCAGTCACCTGCACAATTTTGAAATTTAAAAGTGCGGAATTGTTGATAGCTGCTGTCAAAGTGGCTTCCTTAACAATAATGTGTAAGGGTGTGGGGGCAAGGAGCCAGGTAAATTATGCAGTGGGTCTGGGTGGCTTGGAGAAATGGGTCCTGTTTGGTGAGTGGCTTGAGGGAGGTGTAGTTGGTGATACACATGGCATGGTGGCACAGTGATTAGCACTTATGTCTCACAGTGCAAGGGACCCAGATTCAATTCCAGCTCTGGGTGAGTATGGTGTTTGCATGTCACCATGTCTGTGTGGGTTTGTGCCAAATACTTCGTTTTCCTCCCACAGTCCAAAGACATGCAGTTGGTAAATGTGGGCTTATGGGGGGTGGTCGAGTCTGGGTGGGATGCTCTTTGGAGATAGCTGCAAATTTGAAGGCCCGAATGGCCTCCTCCTGCACAGTTTTATGATTCTGTGTGAGCTAAGTATGGGGTCAGTTGAACTGTTAATTAAGAGTATACTGTGCAGACTATAGTTTAACCTTTCCTGTGTAACTATTTAATTTCAATAGAACATTCCAAATTTCCTAGGGATTCTGCAGAGGACCCCATGTGCAACTCCCACCAGCTGTAATAATGACTGGCTGGCCATTGGAAGATACGAGCCAAATTCTCTAATCTACAGCAAGCTTAATTATTTTAATCATTAATCTCCTCTTGGCTTTGTCTATTTGAAGGACAGTAATTTCAGTTTCTCCCGTCTGTCCACATAACTATAATCACTCAATCATACAGTACAGAAGAGACCTTTTAGCCCTTAATAGTCTGTACCGCCAAAAGTATACTAATATCTAAACTAATTTTCCCACACTTGGTCCATAGCCTTAAACGTTATGACAATTCAATTGTTCATCTAAGTACTTTTTAAAGGTCGTGACATTACCAGACAGTGCATTCCAGACCCCCACCACACTCGGTGAAAAAATGTCTCCTCAAATCCCCTCTAAACCTTACACTGAGTGTTTTCCTGTTAACTTGGAACAGCTGCTTTCTATTCATCCTGTCTGTGCCCCCCAATCTCATACACCTCCATCAGGTTTCCCCCCCCCACCACCCAACCTTTTCTGCTCCAAAGAAAACAACCTGAACTTATCCAGCCTCTCTTCATAGCTAAAATGCTCCATCTCGGGTAACTTGCTGGTAAATCTCCACTGCATCCATCTTTCCTTCAGTGTGGTGATCAAAACTGTACATAGCTGTCACCTAACCAAAGTTCTGTACTGCTCCAACATAACCTCCCTTCTCTTATCTCTTTCATGACCGACAAAGGCAAGTGTGCTGCATGTGTTCTTAACGACCCTATTAACCTGTCCAGCCACCTTCCGGAATCTGTTAGTACTCATTCATTGAGTTCTTCTTTGTCTTGTTACTTGTTCCACAGTGCATCACCTCAGACTTATCAGGGTTAAATTACATCTACCACTGATCTTCCCTTCTGACCAATCTATCTATATTCTGTAATCTAAGACCTTCTTCCTCACCGTCAACTACCCATTCAATATTTGTCTCAGCCAGAAAGTTACTTATCATCATCAACTCCAACTCCACCTCCTCTTCCTCACCACCACCCCCCACCCCCAAGAAAACCACCCACATTGTGATGCACATAAATGATGTGGATGACAAACAATAAGGGACACAGTACAGATCCCTGTGGTACGCCATTGCACACCAGGCTCCAGTCACACAAATAGACTTCTACCACCATCCTCCGTTTCCTGCCACTAGGATAATTTTGGATCTAACTTGGCAAGTTATCCTGAATCCCAAACGTTTTTACCTTTTTTTTTAAAATCAGTTTCCCATGTGGCACTTGTCCAAAGCCTTGCTGAAATCCACATAAACTACATCAAATACAATGGGATCTTGATCAGATGGAGGTTAGTTTAGATAAATATGAAATGCTGCATTTTGGAAAGGCAAATCAGGGCAGGACTTTTATACTTAATGGTAAGGTCCTGGTGAGTGCTCCTGAACAGAGACCTTTGAGTACAGGTTCTTAGTTCCTTGAAAGTGGAGTCACAGATAGATAGGATAGTGAAGAAGACATTTGGTGTACTTGCCTTTATTGGTCAGTGCATTGAGTAAAGGAGTTGGGAGGTCATGTTGCAGTTGTACTGGGCATTGGTTAGGCCACTTTTGGAATACTGTGTACAGTTCTGGTCTCCCTGCTATAGGAAGGACAGTGTGAAACTTGCAAGGGTTCAGAAAAGATTTATAAGGAGGTTGTCAGGGTTGGAGTTATAGGGAGAGGCTGAATAGGCTGGGGCTATTTTCCCTGCAGCGTTGGAGGCAGAGGGGTGATCTTACAGAGGTTTATAAAATTATGAGGGGCATGGATAAGGTAAATAGGTGAAGTCTTTTCCCCAGGGTGGGACAGTCCAAAACTAGAGGGCACAAGTTTAAGGTGAGAGGGGAAAGATTTGAAAGGGACAACGTTTTCATGTAGAGGGTGGTGCATGTATGGAATGAGCTGCCAGAAGAAGTGGAGGAGGCTGGTACAAATACAACATTTAAAAGACATCTGGATGGGTATATGAATAGGAAGAGTTTAGAGGGATATGAGCCAGTGCTGGCAAATGGGACTAGATTAATTTCGGACATCTGGTCAGCGTGGATGAGTTGAACTGAAGGGTCTGTTTCTGTGCTGTGCATTTCTATGACTCCAAATACCTTGGGCTTCTTTACACACTTTATCACTGCCTCAAAAAATTCAACCAGATTTGTTGGGCATGACTTGCCTCTGACAAAGCCATGCTGACTATCCTTGATCAAATCTTGCCTCTCTAAACTTTTTCCTTTGGTATTTCTCCAGTAGTTCCTCTACCACTGATGTGTGACTGACTGGTTTATTGTTCCCTGGTCTCTCTCTACCACCCTTCTTGTAAAGTGGAACCAGAGTTGCTGTTTTCCAGTCGTCTGGCTACTGCCCTGTGGAACCATTCTAGCAAATCTCTACTGTGCCCTCTCCAAAGCCAATTTGCTTTGCTATTACAAGACATTAAGCAACGTTCTGTCCGATGTGTGCAGCTGCTGGGAGGTTCCACATGTTCCAATAGGTAAGCTGATGCATTGGGCTGGTCAATTGGCCAGACCTTGGAGGTTATTACAGGAAATTGTGCCAGCAAGTACTTTTAAAAAAAACCACATTTGGTATAAATACTGGTTGGAAGAATATTGCATGTTAATGTATCGATGGTATTTTGTTTGTTAGAAGTCTGAATAATCATCCCCAAACTTTAATTTTCTACAACAACAGTAGCCCGATATCACCATGATACATGAAAGTCATGATAGTCACGAAGTATTACTGGTGATAGACTATGAACACGTACTTACCACTCTCTTTGAACAAAATGCAGCATTTTGTCAATCGTACTGGACTCACAGACCATGTAAAGCCCCCATAGACCAGTATCTGTATAGCAGGTGTTGAATGATTGGAAACTGTGGCAGAGATTACCCTGGCAAGCAATCTGTGCCAATTTACTGGACAAGTTCTGTTTTCAAAATAAAGTAAATTGTTTGTTTAGACAGCCAACTCAATTATAAACTAGTCTATGTAAAGCAATTCAAACTGTATAGCGACAAAGGAAAATAAAAGATTATTTCGCTTATGTAGTTTGGAATCAGTTGAGGTGTTCAAAAATTCTTATATACTAGCTGTAAAGTTACCTTAGTAACATACGGCTGCTCTTTCATTAAAGAGGCGCGACTGGTCATAATTTAATTATGCCTTGGGCAAAGGAAGAGGTTAAGTACGAGAGACCATCATGGTAATCTCAGCCAGTGTGGGAACTGAACCCATACTGTTGGCCTCCCTCCACATCACAAACCAACTGTCCAGCTAACAGTCTGGTTTTAGTGGGTGATACCTATTGATCTTTATGTCAGATACAATAGCCCAAATCTACCACAAAATGGACAGAATAATCAGTCAACTGGTTTGTTTCATAAATTAGAAAATGACAAAAAATGAAAGCTTGTTTTGTCAGTGATTGGTGGAATTCTACCAGATTCAATTCTGTAATACCTGCAGAGTTAACATTTTCAAAACATTAACTAAATTTAAAAGTGAAAGTCTCAGTGCAGCTGCTGAAGTGATAACAGTTAATTTCCCACTTTTTGGTACTTTGGAATTTATCAAATGTAGAATTCTCATTTAGCTCCATCACCACAAAGTACATCATAGTTTATTAGCAAATTAGGTACACTTTTCTGAAAACAAAATCCTCAAGCTATATAATTATCAGTAAAATCAATGATCAAATTATTAATAGGCTTCCATTAAACAAAACTATTTTGTTAGAATTTTCTTATTTACTCACCGCACCACCACCAAAAGAACGGTCCCAGTTACCAATTAAGGTATTTGCTACCATGAGGGGAATAGTGTCTGCATGTGACCAGCCAACAGCTTCAACAGCAATTGCAATATGAGCCAGTGGCATCTTGTCATCTCTTACCCGAATCTGGTAAACAAAATCAGTTATCATTTAATGCATATCTGCTGCAATTATCACAAAAAAATCTTGAACAATGACCCCAAAGATATGTAAATACGATTTGAACTAAAATCGGAGTTGGGAGTTAAGAAAATAAATTGTGCATTCTAAGATTACACATCACCACAGGCTGGACTTCAAAATATATTTTGAAGAATATATATCAACATCGCAGTTATAGAAGCAATCAGAAATTCACAGCACTCATGAATGAACACGTAGTTCCAAGAGTCACTCAAACCTACACAGATGAGTTAAAAGATTTCCACTATTCAATCAAAACTCTTAGAGCAACATACTTTATATTATGTGATCGGTACAATCTTCAAAACTCACTACACAGAATGTCCAAGTAGTTACCAAATAATTGTTGGATTCTTCCTTGCCTGTTTTCTCCCCACTTACCAGTTGACATTCAGGGTGCAAGCTTACACACAGTTGTGCAATTAAGTAAAATTTCATAATGATTAATAAAATAACTCACTCAATTCTTTGCTTTCCCAATTCTATCACAATAATAAGTACATTTGTCATGCTTCATTAGGGTAAAGAGATGACACACTAACAACTGGAAAGAGTGAAAAAAAGGGTAGACAGCAGCTAACCAGGTGGTCTATCAGCTGGTGATCCACTTTGCATCATGCTCATAGGGATGCTACAGATCAAGTAAGGTCACAAGGAAGTATACAAAGCCACGCTCAAAGTGAAGAAAACAAAACTGGTTCCATTAGAGCTACTTTTCACAACTAATCTGTGTACAGAGGGAAATGGTAGCTAGTAAACTGTTCACATGTTCAGTCATGCATGTTTTATAAAATATTAAATTTTTATGTACATACCTCACTTCCCGTGAACTTACAGGGAGGCAGGTCTGGTGTGGTATTACCATCGTAGGTTGTTAATAGATTACCAAAATGATGCTTTGCCAAGTCAACCAATTTATCATGATCCACTCCTGCAAAGAGGAATTCAAACTGGAGAATTGAAAATGTGCAGCTATGTTGGCAATATGGACAGAACAATATTCGATTAATATAATTAATTTCTGGGCTTATCGTACATACTCCATACAGTTGATTATTAGAACATATACAATCTAAGCAGAACTCAACTTAAATACCTGTACGTCAAGCAATTTATTTTTTTCCCTCCATTCTACAGTTGTCAGGCTCCTTGTCTGGGTGCGCCTGGTGTATTCACTTTTCTGATCACCTATAATTACCTTACCTAACTGGTCATTATTCATGTGAGAGCTGTAACAGTGTCGCAGGCTGATGAACTGCAGGATGCAGTACAATAAAGTCCAATCCTATCGTCAGCTGACATTCATCACATGTATTCATTTCCAACAAGGGCTGACAGATAATGATTGGATTGGGAAATATGGCTGATGTTTCGTCTCCTTAAGGCTGGAATACTAATTGTCAGCATTCCTACTGACATTTTCTTCTGTACAACAGATTTTCTTAACCCCAAATATCTGGGTTTATTTTTTATGTGCGAAAAGAAAGCAATTATAGTGCATAACATACTTCAAAGGAATTCTGAGTATATAATTCAATCATAGGCAACGAGGAAAAATCCATACATTTAAATCTCTGATGAAAGTAAACACCACATTCCCTTTAATATCATAAAATTCTCTGCAAATATTGATGATAAAATTAAGCTTCATTTTAATGTTCACAGACATGCTCAGGAGCTATGCTTCTTACCCAATTGTCTACTTTAACATACCCTCTCCTAAGTAAATTTTCATAACATAGCAAAAGAAATGAAAACGCACTAAAACCATACTCTCGGTTGCCCAAAGAAATTGTGATGAAATGGTATTAGAATTACAATAATTTAGTATTGGGAGAATCAACTGAAAATACTCTAACCTCCAGCAGCAGCCAATACCATCCTTGGTCCTTTGTAGTGTGTTGTGATATATTCCACTAGGTCATTTCGAGTAATGGATCTGTTACAATAATAATTTTATTGAGTGTAAAAGCGAGGGAAGATAATTCAAGATGACTATTAAAAAATACAAATACATACTTGATGTTTTCCGTAGGTCCCAGAATAGTTCGGCCTAAAGCCGTTGTCTGATATGCTGTGGCATGCAGATAGTCAAAGACTACTTCCTGCAGATTGGTTTCAACTTCTTGCATTTCCCTTAGAATAACTCCTCGCTCACGCTCAATCTCCGCTGATCCCAAGGTGCTGTTCTGAATAATGTCTGCAAGGATTTCAACAGCTGTGTGCAAAGCATCAAACAAAATATGGTTAACAAACGTAGATTTATTGTTTAAACCTGCTGTTCTAATGACCAAGTTCCCTTCATTGAACTCTGTAAAAGTATTATGAAGCAGATCATGTTTCGACGGTAGACAGATGTTTGAAGTTTCTGGAAACAAAATGTTAATTATTTTCACATTGAATTCAGATTAAAAAGCACACAACCCTTTATGTAAGGGTGGGGAATGCATCTCCTTCACTTACTTGAGAAGGCTTTAAAAGAAATTTAATTTAACAAACTATAGTTTTCTTCAAAATAAGAGAAGCTTTACGTGCTATAGTATTCAGGTTCAAAAGATAATTAGATATTAAATGAATCACCTCTGGGCAGATCTTCAGAAAATGCTTTAGCATAATACACTGTTTGTTCTCTGGATGTGTATGCATTTAAATGGGCTCCCATGTTCTCGATTTCAAGTTCCAAGTCTAGCTGAGAGCGTTTCTTTGTGCCCTGTGAGGGAGGAATAATAAGTTTAATGATAATGTATTGAAATGCATTAAAAAAGCATTATTGGGTCGATTATACTATGTTTGACACCGAACTGGTCTTCAAACTCAACATGAGTTGTAACACTCTTGCTCGTGAGACAGGAAGTCATGGGTTCAGGTCAGAATTGATTATGTAACTGCCTCAAGTTTCAATTCATTTGTTAAACCTAGGCCGCTTTCTTCCTCTTCAAGCAGATGTAAAGAAAGTTTAGCTGCATGACCCATGAAAGAACAGGGTTGTTCTCCTGGTAAATCAGCAACAGAAGATGCTAAAACAATTCCATATCTTTGGAGGGAATAGCCAGGTAATGTTTTCTTCAAAACGGTATCCCAGCCAACATTTGCCCAGTGCAGGTCCTACTTCTTTGGCATTTAAGTTGTGACATTGAAAACATGGCTGACGACTTACTCTAAACAGCCCACTCCAAGATTTGTGATGGGAATCAATGGTCAACAAAGAAATGGACAGAAGCCACCATCCTGTTGCACCTCCATCTCCTGTCAATGTTACAAGGAATTTTCACTAGCCAGTGAATATCAAGTGCAAAATGTAAATTAAAGGCAACATGAAGTAGTAACGAAGAGGATTGATGAGGGCAGAGCGGTGGGTGTGGTCTATATGGACTTCAGCAAGGCATTCGACAAAATTCCTCATGGTAGACTGGTTAGTAAGATTAGATCACATGGAATACAGGGAGAACTAGCTATTTGGATACAGAACTGGCTTGAAGGTAGAAGGAAAGGGTGGTGGTGGAGAGGTACTTTTCAGACTGGGGGCCTGTGACCAGCAGTGTACCACACAGATCAGTGCTGGGTCCACTGCCTTTTGTCATTTATGTAAAAGATTTGTATGTGAACATACGAGGTATGGTTAGTAAGTTCGCAAATGACACCAAAATTGGAGGTGTAGTGGACAGCGAAGGAGGTTATCTCAGAGTACAACAAGAGCTTGATCAGACAGGCCAATGGGCCAAGGAGTGGTGGATGGTGTTTAATTTAGATAAATGTGTGGTGCTGCATTTTGGAAAGGCAAATCAGGGCAGGACATATACACTTAATGGTAAGGTCCTGAGGAATGTTGCTGAACAAAGAGACCTTGCAGTCGCAGGTGGATAAGATAGTGAAGAAGGCATTTGGTATGCTTGCCTTTATTGGTCAGTGCATTGAGTATAGGAGTTGGGAGGTCGTGTTGTGGCTGTACTGGACATTGGATAGGCCATTTTTGGAATGATGTATGCAATACAGGTCTCCCAGATATAGGAAGGATTTGGTGAAACTTGAAAGGGTTCAGAAAAGATTTACAAGAATATTGCTAGGGTTGGAGGGTTTGAGCTATAGGGACAGGCTGAATAGGCTAGTTATATTTTCCTTGGAGCATCAGAACCTGAAGGATGACCTTATAGAAGTTTATAAGGTCATGAGGGGCTTGGATAGGGTGAATAGCCAAAGTTTTTCCCTGGGGTGGGAGAGTCCAAAACTAGAGGGCATAGGTTTAAGGTGACAGGGGAAAGATTTGAAAGGGACTGAAGGGACAACTTTTTCCATGTAGAGGGTGGTGTGTGTATGGAATGAGCTGCCAGGGGAAGTCGTGGAGCGTGGTACAATTACAACATTTAAAAGACATCTGGATGGGTATATGAATAGGAAGGGTTTAAGAGGGATTTGGGCCAAATACTGCAAACGAGACCAGATTAATTTATGATATCTGGTCAGTGTGGACGAGTTGGACCAAAGGGTCAGTTTCCGCACTGTACAGCTCTATGATTCTATCTCATCCATCCTCAAAACTGACAAACAAACTTGAAGATATTGTCCTTCTCCAGTCCACAACTTGTCTCTGCTGAAACCATAACTCTCTTATCCCTTGCAAGTTCAACTTCACAACATTCACGTAAGTATCCTGATTTCCACTCAACAATTCCATTCCAAATCCATTATTCCTGAACTTGGGGTAAATATTACTGGTGTCCTCCCATACTCAGCACAACTTTTCAAACACCCACACTTACTCTCTCGAATCATAAATTATTGCTAGCACTGTTCTTAAACTCCAGATACTGCATGTCTCTATCTCTATCAATACTTCAATGAATGAAGAGAATATCACATTTACACAATCTTTCTTCCCAAAGCCACCTTGCTACAACATCAAAAAACCTCCTAATCCATCAGCCTGTTCCAGCTAATTTTACACAAAAACAGAGATTGCTGTAGAAACTCAGCAGGTTTGGCAACATCTGTGGACAGAAAGCAAAGTTAATGTTTCAAGTCCAGTG